TTATAAATCAAGAGCTCATAAAGGGCTTGAGCCATTGTAGTCAAATGGCTTTGGATCAGGTCTATGAAGCAATTTCTTCCATGCCAACATTCCAATCGTCTGAAATTGGGAAATAAGAACTTTTCTGTCTTCTGAGATCAGTCTCTTTCCACACTGGAGGTCAAAGGATAGCCAGCTTGCACAAGACTATGTAGTCCCACGCACTGAACATCTTTGTTGAGCTAATGTGGTGTTAAGCCAGGGATCAATACAATTCCTGTATCATTCATTATAAAATCCTTGACCCAAAATTTCCATTAGTAACAAATCATGTGTGTCATGTTACCAACCTGATTCTTACATGGTCACCACACAGCATTTCCCAGTTGATCATATTTGAAGAAGTGGGCAAGAACCCCACCCATTCTTTGTCTGACTACAAAAACTCTCCTTTAGATATACTTAAGCATCTAGTTATAGACTTTGGACCATCAGAATTCAGTAACGATGTATCGAAGCTGTCAAAACCTGTTACTATATTTGTGGACAGGGGATTTCTTTATTGGTCATACATGGGGGTGTGACCTGATATTCATTCACAATTTCATCTACTGATGCTAAAAGAAAATAGAAGCATCTCTTTTTATGTTGACCTTATATCAGAGGTGGGCAATAAGCAGCCCACAGGCTGGACAGGGCTCGACAGATGCTTGGTTTACCTGCACGCCTGCAGGTACAGCTGCTTGCAGATCCTGTTGGCCATGGATTGCTAAGCCCGGACAATGGGAGCTGTGAGAAGTGGTATATCAGTTCGCACTGCTTCCTGCAGCTCCCATTGGCCTGGAATGGCAATCCTTGGCCAACAGGAGCTACGAGTGGATCTACCTGCTGACTTGGCTCACTACTGGCTACTTATTACCCATGGGCTACTTATTGGCTACCCCGTCTTAGATCTACTGGAGGGAACTATAGAGAAAAAGAAAATATTAAATCAATGGCAATCTTGGTCAGAAGCAGTAGTTTAAGACTAATTGTTCATGAATGATGGATGGTGGCCATCTTCTCCTCTGAGAGCCTTCAAAGGGTACGTCTAGACTACAGGGTTTTGTCGACAGAAGTTTTGTCGACAAAGAGCGTCTAGACTTGCTTTGTCGACAAAACCCTGTAGTCTAGACACAACCCTACATGCAATAACACCTTCTGTCGACAGAACTCTGTCGACAGAAGGCGTTATGCCTCATAAAATGAGGTTTACCAGCGTCGACAAAACTGCTGAGTTCTGTCAACGTTATGTCGACAGAACTCAGCGGTAGTGTAGATGCAGGTATAGTTTTGTCGACAAAAGTCCACTTCTGTCGACAAAACTCTGTAGTCTAGACACACCCAAAGGCTCTTAGTAAACAATTGTGTCCTATGGAGATGGGAGCTCTGTCTTCCAAACATATCTAGAAAGCTCTAGTCTGCCAGGGGACTATTTCCCAATTTACCCAGAGTTATTTTTAAAAGAAATTTTAGCAGAGTTGGAAACTGAAGAAAAACTCCCTCCACTAGCAAACTAGGTCACACCAGAGAAATGCTACAGCAAAATGACAAAATCGTGGAACTCTTCACTGCCTGCAAACCCATAGTTCAGTAGATTTACTCCAGAGTCATAGAAATGAATCCAGACCAGATCAGAATGTGACCCAATAGGTAGTTTAATGGCTGCCTTAGATCTACGTAGCTGTATAAGACATAGTGCTTCCAGGGACCTCACATCATGTACACATCCCTAACTTATAAGCCACATGCCTGGCTGCAATTTTGCATGACTCCAGTACCAGTGAGTTGTTTGAGTCTGAATTCTGTAACTTGGCAACCCCAGTTCTGCCCCTTGGTAAGTTGTGCTTCATGCCCCTTTCTGCATGGGTGAAAGTAACTTATAATTCTTACAGGTACTGTCCTTTCTCACACACACACACACACACACACACACCCATTGGAGGGGATCTTAGGGCCAGGGAGAGTTGTGATCCAACAGTGCCTGTAAGAAATATCATGTGGAATGGCACGTGGAGTGGCTCAGAGCAGAGGTTTGGGCATGTGTGGGAATGCAGGAGTTAGGGCAGGGGAGTGGGGATGTAGGGGTGCAGGAAACAAGGTTAGGGTATATGAGGGGCTGAGGGTAGAGGGTTGGAGCAGGGGAGTACAGGAGTTAGGGCAGGGGGCTGTGGTGTAGAGGGTGCAGGAGACAGGGTTGGGGTATGTGTGGGTGCAGGGGGCTGGAGATGGGGTGTGTGTGCAGGAGTCACGGTTGTGGTATGAGGAGGGGCTCAGGGAAGAGGGTTTGGGTGGTGGGAGTCAGGGAAGGGGGGCAGGAGGGTGGGGGGCTCAGAGCAGGGGGGACGTAGAGGTGTAGGATGTAGGGCAGGGGGCTCAGGGCAGGGGACTGGGTGTTTGGGGTGAGATCAGGGGGCAAGAGCACCATTTTGAGGGGTGGGGAGGTGCAGCCGAACATATCAAGTCCCTGTTGCTTTTCCTGCTTCCTGTGACTAGGGAGGAAGGAGAAGTGCAGATCCTGCTGTGTCCCTCTCGCTCCCGGCTGCCCGAGGGAGGGGCAGAGAAGGAACACAAAAGGCTCTGCACTTTCCCCTTGCTCCCTAGTCCCAGGAAGCAGGAAAAGCAACAGGCACCCAGTATGTGCATCTGCACCCTCCCCTCCTCTACAAAATGATGGTGGGCTGGCTCAGAGCTCGGGCAGTCCTAGAGGGAGAATAGCACCCCCAGCCAGCCCCTCTAACTTGCCTGGCTGCTTGCTGCTGAGCACGGAAGCCTGCAGGAAGCTGGGCGCCATGCAAGAGTGCCCCACCCACCCTCTTCCAGCTAAATGTCCCAGCCATCCGGCTTCTTGCTAAGGATGTTAAGAGGCGGGTAATTGGATAATCAGGTAGTTGATACAAGGAGAGGTGCTCAGAAAGAGCTACCCCCGGCGCGCAGGCAGGCCGGCTCCTACTACATTTAAACTGCAGAGCCGCAACGGGGGTAGCTCCGGACCTGTCACGAGCTGGGATTGAGCTGGGCTCAACGGCCTCCCCCTCTCCCGTGCACTGCTGCAGCATTGTGTGTATGGGGAGCAAGCAGCACCATGGAGCTGGTCCTGGGGGGGATCCGGCTTTTAAGCTAGCTCCTCCCAGCTCCGGCTCCTGCTTCCTAATCGACTACTCTTTTACATCCCTACTTCTTGTTGCACTGGGGCACACTGGATCACTTTCACCTCTGCCCTACTGCCTTCCTGATCTATTAGGGGGATTCACTGGGTGGCTTGGAACTTCACAAATGGATTGGGGCCAGAAGTCGGAGTCGGGGCCTAGTAGACGGGAGGCTGCTGGGTGAGGGGGAAGGGAGAGTACTGTGTGTCTGGACTTTATTACATCAGCAGGCCCAGATCCCACTTCTTGCTTTTTCTAGGGAGTCTAGTTTTGTCACGCTATAGACGAATCAGACCATGATGCTGTGCTCTCAATGGCTCATCGGAAATAGGATGGGTCCCAAAATGGCTCCTGGTTATGGTCAACAGAAAGTATTTAAGCATCCATTTTAGCAACAGAGAGTCAGGTTCACAGCACTAGACTTTGCTTTTTCTGTTTCATTTCTGCGGTGATTACAGCCAGACCTGGAGGTGCACATTTGTTCGTCCGAGGATTAAGCAAGGTGGACTGAGAACCGTGACTAGAAAGTTAATATTCATGCGAAGGAGCGACGTGACCTCGGAGAGCAGCACAAGCTGGAAGCTAATAGACTACACTGGATTAATCTGAACGGTACTTCAGACTTTCAACATCCCTGGCAGCATTTTTAGATGACTCTCTCTAAAACCAGTGCTCTAATCACGAGCAATATTTCTCAAGATGCATCTACAGCCAAAGCATCGTGGAAATAAAACAAAGATCCACATGGGGGTCTGAGATCCGTGTTTTTTTGGAGTCTGTGCCATCGTTGTATCGGAATTTGGGTTCTCTTGACTCGGACCGTATGCCCACAGAATCTCTAGGAGAGTACAAAGGAAATCTCCAACTTGTGAAAGCTGAAAGAAAGCAATGTGGAATCTGAACTAGCCTAGCTAGAAATCAATAGATGAAATGTAAGGCACCAAGGAGTTTAAAACAGGGATTGAGCACTGCTGTAATGCTCACAGAGACAAGAAAGGAAAATGCAACTGGGTTTTCTCCAGTTCGACAGATAATATTTACAGCCCGTGGGTGGTGCCAAAATATTTCAGGAAATGCCTCAGGCTTTGGTAATAAAGCTATGAAAAACAGAATCTTTAAAGACAGCTAATGTAAGGCGACAAATATAGGTCCTCCACCTTATTCCAGCCTCCTTATATGATTTCAAAATGATCACCATAGCAATTATCAAATCTAACCTCATTTCACAATCTCCTCTGGAAATTAAGCTTTAAGTCTGAAATGTAAAGCTCAGCATAATGCTAAACAAATCAAGTAAACGGCAAGTAATCAAAATAAATGAACATTTGACACTGACTACATACTGGGCTAAATCCCCCCTATTAATTTCCTCTCCAGAAACATGTAACCTTCATTTTAGTCATTTGAGTGACTTTATCCAATGAATTCTAGCTAGTATGCCTGAGAAACCAAATCCACATGGGGAAAATAAGAGCATTTGTCCAGATAAGTGTCAGGTACTCCCATGTTCCATTGGTCTTAGCGTAGGAAGTCACAAAATTACTATGGTTCCTTTATGTGACTCAGTTCTTAAAGAGAAGGCATTGGAAAAAGCATCTATAGTGACCTCCCCCCCTTTCCAAAAAAGGTAGGTTTCCACATAACATTAGTCTCAACTTTGTCTCACTTGTTTACCCAGGCCATACAGTATCTGGAACTCTATACAGTACATAGAGCCATCTAGTGGTTGAATAACATACTGCAAGGAAACATTCTCATGCTCAACACCCCTGAAAACCAGGCTAATTGTTTCTAAGGAGAATTTAAAAGTACATTTTAAACCAAAGGTTTTACCTGTTCCGGTTTGAGACCCGGAGGCACCCATGCATACTCTTCCAAGGCACAGCCTGAGTCATCATCAGAAGTGGAATTCCTCTGAAAGTCAAACATGAGCTTGGTCACCGTCTTCTCCATCTCCAGAGGCATAACTGTTACAAAGTGCTCTTCTTGGGGACACTTACAGTGAAGGCAAATCTTCCTGCAAATAGTGAAGAAACAGATCCAACCGTGAGTTTCATTTTGAAAAACAAACACTTGGAGTGATCTCTGCCCATGGCCAGAGCTCAGATACCAAACTATAAACATACACTCAAGGGCAGCACATCCCTGGCAATAACCCAATTCATCCAGAACAGCTTTCTACTTCAGTATTGATTTCTTTCATGGACAGAAAAAAAATCCAGATTTGCTAAAACAATGTTGGAGAGTCAAGGACAGGGTTAGATTGTTAAAGGTAGTTGGAGATTAAATTGTTTCTTCCTTTATGCTAAGAAATAAACCTGCACAAGGCAAATAAATGTGTGTAGAGCCATATTCTCAGCTAGTTTAAACTGGTTTACCTGCAGTGACTTCAGACTGACACCCACTGAAGACCTGGCCTGTGATATTTAATGCGTAGCATGTCACCTTAAACAGAAAGATGTGAATGAAAAGTTCCTTTACCATGCTAACAACATAATTTGCTACAAAATGGCATAAAATGTATTATGAGCATGTTAAATTAGGGCATGCTCTGAAACACTGTGCAAGAGTCTCTCTTTCAGTTACAAGCTTTTTAGGGCAAGAGTAGTTTTTTTGTCAGACGTATTTGTACAGCACCTAGTACAAGAGTGCTCCAATCTCTGATGGAGACCTCCAGGTGTATGCAGTACAAATAACTAATCCCTTAACTCCGTAAAAGCTGCCATTCAGAATTCATTGCAAGCATCACATTTTTTAAAAAAGCTCTTTAAGCCGGATCTTGCACCATTAAAGCCAAGGAGAGGTTTCCCATTGTCTTGAATGGGAGCAGGAGCAAACACTAAGGCAGTGGTTCTCCAAGTGTGGTTGCTGCACAGATCACTAGTGGTCCATGACTGCCGTGCAGAAGGGCCATGGGCTCGCTTCCCTTCCCCTCCCCTACGGGGAGTCCATGCTGGTGCTATACCCTCTCACCATGAGGCTGGAGCAGCAGTGCCAGCTTCCTGCTGCAGGGAGGAGAGCCCTGAGCCTTGCAGGCCAGATCCGGCTTGTGGGGGAGCAAGCAGCTTGACATGCTGCCACTCCCCTTCCCCCTGGCTGGGGGAACAACAGCACAAGAAACCACTTGCCTGGAGGCTTTCCCTGATGCTCCCATTGGCCAGGATTGTGGCCAATGGGAGCAGTGCCTGGAAGCGGCAGGGTGCATGGAGCCAGGTAAGTGCCCCTCATTCTCTGCATGTCCAGACCCCTACTCTCATCCCCCAGACGTACACCAGGTCTCCCAACCCAGCCTGCTCCTGCGCCCAACCAGACCCCCAACCACAGCCTGTTCCTCAAACCTCCCTCCCACTCAGATCTCCTACACCCCTCTGCTCCCATTTAGTCATCACGGGGGTTGGCTGGTTGTCCGCAGGAAGGTTTGTACGGAGTGGGCTGGGCCATGTACCAGAATGTTACACTAAGGAAAGGCCAAGAAAATACATGGCACAACCCCATTTTCCTGGACTGCTTCAAGGACATGGGAGATTGTCTCACCAGGGAGGTTGTTGGGTATGGTTCCCACTGGAGGACAAACTCAGAGACAAGGGAGCAGAGTCTGGATAAACTGGGTTGCCGTTGGCGATAGGTGTAGGTAAAATGCTTTCCTGTAACTTGGCCTATCCGGGTGTAGTTTACGTATAACGTGTAAGACTCTGTGCTCACTTGACGTAAGAATGGCCAGACTGGGTCAGACCAAAGGTCCATCAAGCCCAGCGTCCTGTCTGCTGACAGTGGCCAGTGCCAGGTGCCCCAGAGGGAATGAATAGAACAGGGAATCATCAAGTGATCCCTCTTCTGTCACCCATTCCCAGCCTCTGACAAACTTGCACCATTGACTTAAGCTATGATTTACGCTCCTTCAGCCGAGGGCAGAGTCAAGTTTGCTGTCTGTTACTCAGAAAAAATGAAGCCCTACACAAAGCAAGGGAAAGGGTGGGTTGACAGTTTGCAGTTTTTTTTTTTTTTTTGGCTATAAGTTATAAGTTCCTGAAAGCAGGAACAGGGAGACTCTGTGGGTTTTTTTCTCCCAAATTTTATTTCCTTTCAGCCATTTCTTCAATGAGAGTTGAGAATGTTAGTGCTCCAATCCAGTTTTGAGTCTACATTTCCACACAGCCCTTCCACAACACAAGCAAATGCACTCTAGAAAAAGTCAAGAGGCTCCATTAAGTCAAGCCAGGGAGATCTGCCAGATTTTCCCATTTCCTACTTTTCGTCAGATCTAAAATACAGACCGAGTGACTGCACAGATAGAGTCTGGCTGGCATCCAGTTCATCAAAGGGGCTCGGTACAGCCTGGGGCTGTTACCTTATAAAATAATCAAGGCCCAATTTCATGTGAATACATTAATTAACAAGCTACTGTCAAAACGCAGAGGAGTTGGTTTCACAACTTTTTCCATCTTGTTTTATGATAGGATTAGAAGCAGCCCAACGTGCAACAAGAAGGTAGGAATAAATAATAGATTCAGAGGTGAATACTGAGCATTTCAGAATTTGGTATGTATTCCAGCAGGGTTTACTTCTGTTTTTATGAAATGTAATTCTCTGGATAACAATCACATTCTTTCAGCCAGCCAGCAACACAATATTTAAAGCTTAGGGAACTAACACAAACTCCAACATCAGGGGGTAAAATGAAGACAACAGCGAATGCCTAGAAGAGAACCAGAGCATATAAGTGATTTCTCATTGACTGAGTTCCTGGATGTTTCTCTCAACAGCAGAGCAGTTAAAAAGAAAGAACCTTTATTTTAATCAGCAGATTTTAAAGTAGCAGTAATGTGAGCACAATGAAAATGGGTTTTAAAATCTCTCCCCATACTGCTCATGTCCCAGATATTGTCACTGTTCAGCAAATAGGTTAGTATTGGTAGTAGGCTCTGAGGCTACTTTTAATATTTTATTTTCTTCCAGGCTGTGTGTAATGGACATCTCACCAGGGATCTGATCTCACTCCCACTGAAATCAACAGCAATGCTCCCATACACATCAGTGGGAGTTGGAACAGGCCCCTATGTGATTTTTTAGAGCTAAACTGGCTGTGGGCTTCTGATCACATCCATTCCAGAGGAACTGGTGAGCTCACACAGAAACCAGAACACTCCCATTGACCGAACCGCCTTTTATACACGGTACGTGATCGCGCAGCTGTGGCACGGTACAGACAGCAAGATTTTTGAAAGGACACATATTGTAACATTAAAACGAAATCTACGTGCTCCTCCTCCAACAATAAAGACGTGATATTTAATGGTACGTAACTGCCGAGAATGTGATGAAAGTTTTCACTTTTTATTAAATGAGGTAAACTCGACACTTACGATGTTTTTTTAAATTACGAAGGGTCTAGCAATGAGAAGTTGCAGCAAAAAAGATAGTCAGCCAGAATCCTTGTTTTACCCTGCTTGGGTCTCATCACGTCACTCATTGAGAAGCCCTAGTCCTGGACCATCACCCCACTGTGTGAAGTGCTGTAGAAACACAGAACAAAATGATGGTCCCTACTGCTGTGTCCATACAAACCCACTTTCACCAATTAAGGGATTCCAGCTGCAGGCCTTCACCCTTACAGAAAGGACTCGGATCTTCCCCTGGGGCAACGACACGAGATGAATGATCCATTCACTTAGGGACACCATTAGTTCCACACGGCAGACTCTGTATTAAAAATAATATATTAAGGGAGGATGTTTTGTCTCCCAATTACTGTGTGTCTGTGAGATCTCCGAGCTGGAAAAAGTCTGCCTGTTTAACCAAAGGTTTGTGCAATCAGAGGAGTTGGAGAGGCAAAGATTAAATAATTTATCTGGTCATTCTCCCCAGCTGTGTGGAATTGTGCCGGATATTGAGCTTTCTAAGGTTTTGTCCATTTCAGTTGTGAATGTCTCAGAGGGTAGGGCTTCCTTCAGTTCTCCGGGAAGATTTTACAGACATCGAGATCTTGCCATCGGGGAATTTAATTTTCTACCTTTCCTCTCATTACTTCTCATCACACCATCCGACACAACCCCCCTCTCCCACTTTCCGATCTCTGACTCACTAGCATCTTGTCAACCCGTATACAATGATCAGCCAGTCTAGACTACAGCCCTATCATTTGGGAGAGAATGCCTTTGGGTCTGCATAGCTGAACCTTTACTCCACTGACTATGCTACCATATAACTAAATGGTGAGAAAATAATATTGTTCATAACCTTATTTTATGAATGTTGGGATCTGATTTTTCATAACAGCTATATACAATATCCTGTGGGCACCTTTCTTTACTAATATATAGTTCTCATTTGTTCTCTACATAGGGTAGACATATTTATACTTGTTTTATGATCTTCAACCCCAACTCAATTAAAAAATAATCCCCGTTGGTGCAAAATCAGATAGAAATGTGTCAGTGTCAAACATCTCCTCCCTGAGATGGAACTAATGACGCAAAGGCATAAAATAATGGTTGGTGTGTGTAGCAGATACACGTACATTAGACAGGTGTGTCTCATTGTACAGTGAGACAGAAGGAGCAGAGAACAACAGGCAGCCGATTCTGACCCTAGTTTCACATTGGTGTAATTCTTCTGACATCAGTGGAGTTAGTTCTTCACTATCAGTGGTAAATAGGCCAATGGTGGGATGACTGGAGTTACTATAGAGAACTTTTTTCTGGGTGTCTGGTTTTGTGAGTCATGCCCACATGCTCAGGGTTCAGCTGATCGCCATATTTGGGGTCGGGAAGGAATTTTCCTCGAGGGTAGATTGGCAGAGGCCCTGGAGGTTTTTTGCCTTCCTCTGTAGCAGGGGGCACGGATCACTTGCTGGAGGATTCGCTGCATCTTGGGGGTCTTTAAACCATCATTTGAGGACTTCAATATCTGAGATATAGGTGAGAGGATTATTCCAGGAGTAGGTGGGTGAGATTCTGTGGCCTGCATTGTGCAGGGGGTCAGACTAGATGATCATAATGGTCCCTTCTGACCCTAGTG